TGTGCGTGTGTGTGTGTGTGTCCAGGGCTGGGGTCTAAAGGAAGGGTCTGTGTTTAAGGTTGGTATAAGGTTTCAGATTGTCGTTGGAGGCCGTTCTGAACGACATCAGGAAGGTGCACAAGTTGTTGAAGGCAGATATGGCGAAGGGAGCTCCAGCGGCAGCAGCGACTTCCAAGCCGGCAAAGCAGGATGCAAATACAGCCGGCCCGAAATTTTCCATCTTCGAGGATGGCCTGAAGCTTGGCTCGCCAGCACATGCCGTGACGGAGGACACTTGGAAGGACATGTCGTGGGACGAGCCGGCAATCATCACCTTGGCCAGCGGCACCATGGCGAACATCTACAGTGCTCAGGTGAAGCTGGCCATTGGGCAGCTCAAGAAGCTGTTCAAGACGGCCAACCAAGCTCGTGCTGAGGTCGCCATGGATATGTCCGTCTTTCAGGCCATCTCCAAGGAGCTGCAGAGCAAGTTCGACGGTAAGGCCAGGTTCTATGTGGGCAATGCAGATGCAATCAAGACCAGCAGCAAGGACCTCACCAACATGTTGCACCGCAACCTGCTGACCACCAGCTATGCCATTGCCGCGAATCATGCGACATTCGCCACCGAGAAGATGTGTCTACCTTCCCTTCGGTTTGCCGCCGAAGGTGTGCGCCGTGTCGTCCTGCTGCCCTATGTCCAGGTGCTCGAGTACCTTGCATCGCAGCCGGACAGTGCATCTTTGAAGTTCATCGATACGCCATCCAAGCACAGTGTGACTCAGTTCTTGAGGTTTTGCAATGAAGAGAAACTTCGAGGGCTTTTGGGTGCAGGTTGCAAGTGCTTCACGGCGACCGTGAACCCGTCCGAGATCTTGTACGTGCCCGGAGGCTTCGTCTTCGCAGAGATGACAAAAGATGTATCATTCGGCATCAAGTCGCCTCTCCTTTTGCACACGGAGGCGACGAAGGCTTTCTTTGAGAAGATGAAGGTCGCAGAGGGTGAGGGCGTCGGTGATCAATGCAAGATCGCTGATGGTTTTCTTCAAGCTACAGCTCCGGCCGAAAGCGCGAAGCCGCCAGCTTCGGGTTAAACCTGTTGTTTTCTGAAGAGGGTTTCTCCGGTATCCAATGTCATTCATTGGACTTGCATGCATCGCATGCGAACACATGTTTACTTCTGCTTGTGCTGCTGAAGCGCATCAAGCACCAAACTTGCACCAAGGTGGATTCGCCAGTCAAGCCAAAGATCCGTTTTGTCGAGCTATCAGAAGTTTCAGCCGGAGTAACATAAACATAACAACCGCAACAGCCGCAACCACCACCGACCACAACGACCACAGCGACCACCGCCCACCGCCACGACCACCGTCGCCACTAGCACCACCACCACCACCACCGCCACAGCACCACCAACACCACCACCAACAACAACACCAACACTACAGCGACCACGACGGCAACTACTGACCACTGAACTACTGCTAACAACAACCCTGCTACCTATTCTTGCACCTGCTGCTGCCACTACCACTACCCTGCTGCCCGCTACAAGTCAACACTGCCATGGACCGAAGCCCCGAATTCGCGACCGACTGAAGTCCTCGAGCGAATTTGTTGCGAACACACAGTCTCCCTAGCCCAAAGTCTCTAAACCCGAAACTCCGAAAGCTTCCTACGGCCTAAAGTCGTGAAGTCTTCAAACAAAAAGATAAGGTGTAGGGGTTTGCGGTTTAGGGCTTAGTGTTTAAGGCTGTAGCATTAAGAAAGAGCACTGAAGTGCATGACGTCAGTGATTGTGAGCATGCGACTGACTGCATTCACGGGCTCCGCCCATTCCGCGCCCCTTCGTGGGCCCCTAGGCTTGTTTTTTCTGGTAAGTTATACGTTCCTCACTCATCGAAAAACCCCCAAACACAGCACTCGTTCGAGATGCAACAATTGTTGTTCCAGGCAATCGCGGAAGGGTCATTGAAATCTGAAATTTCCACCTTATTCGTTGGCATTCCGTGGGCCTAGGCCGCAAAGGCTTTTCTTCCGAAAGCAAAGCCCATTTATAGCTTTTCATTTCGAGAATGCAGCAAGGTTTCAGGGGGGTTGCGGTCACTCGTTCCGCTGGGAAGTGCAGAATCGAATGAACCGACCTCACTTTGCGACAGGTTTTCGGAGAGGCCGATGTTTTTTCCACGTCGAGCCCAGTAGCTGAAACATAGTCCATCGCGAGATGCACGTAGTCCCTCAACACTTGGCCCGTGACTAGCTCCGCTGGTCTTTGTGAACCCCACAAACAGCATAAACCGAGCCAGTGTGCCAAGAGTGGTCGTTGGAAGATGGTTGCTTGGACACCCCATTGTTTTTTGTATGATTTTGCTGCGTGGTCTGGCTGGTGTCCCTTGTGTACTCTCATCTCGGTAGTTGCGGGGCATTGACCCTCTGGCATAGCCGTGTGCCTCCGCAGATGTGGAAGTGTAAACCTTGGTAGTGTAAGTTGCAGAAGAATGCCAGATCGTACACATGTTACATGCAGTCACAGAATCTGGCCATCTTATCTTGGAGAAGACTTGTGGTGTACTCGTATGCAGTTCTACTTCACAGTTCTACTTGACAATTGGAGAGACCGCCTGCATTACCAACCGTCGTCACAGCCAGGAGTGCAAAATCTCTGACTCAACTTAAAGGTCGCTAAATTGGGTCTTGTCTGGCCTTTCATGTCTTTTTTCAGAACGTGCTGAGGATTTGAACCTCCTTATCGACTTGAAAGGGGGCTTGGTAGTCAGCACCATCAACTTGCTGAAGAAGGCTTTCCAGAAAACCTTGAGCGAGCGCCTCGCTTGAGAGGAAAGCTTGCTGCTTGCAGATCATGGCGCCGCTCATGCTGATCGTTTTCCCACGGTCATGACGCCAAGGCTCATGAAGGGTCAAATTCAATCGAAAGCATCTTAGTTGCAGCAAGGACAGTTTGTGGACACACCTGGAGTGTTCGAATGGGGGACACACCCTGGCTTCTTGTTGCCTGCGTACGTTGAATCAAGGCCATAACTCTTTGGCAAGAGTAAGAAGGTCGATGGTAGCCAGCATAGCGGCGTTCTGCTAGCACTCGCGGCACTTTGCACCATTCCGATGTTCTTGTGATTATCCTCAATGCAAGGATCACCCAGGTGCAGCTCACAGCCATACGATCGAAAGCATAGTTAATTAGGATATACTGGAGTCACAATTGCATCCTGGACCCTCGTTGCTACGAGCAGGTGGTCGTTGAGGTTGCACTTCGGGTACGAGACTAGTTGACGGACCTTCGTAAAGCAGGCGAACGGATTTCGGACGGTTCCAACGGGTTGCACTTGGGGTTTGGAAGTGCCGAGTGTAGGCGCGATACTTGCGGATCTCGCAGAGGTCTGTGGCGGAATGCACGAGGAGGTGGCGCCCCAGCTGACGAGACAGCTTGAAGTGCTCAACAAGCTCCCTGTCAGCGGAAGCTCTGAGTCCTGCGGGGCCTTCGAGAGAGCGGAGCGCAGCAAAGGTTGATTCTCCCTCCATCCTTGCAGCGACACGAACACGGCGACGGGCGCCGCTTGAAGGAGGCCGGCGCTGTGGTTTCAGGCGCCCTTGGGGCCCAGGAGGTCGGGAGGAGGCCCCGCGTCCCTGCGCGCGAGGACGGCAACAGCTCTGACTCTGACAGCTCGGAGCCGGAGCCGTCTCTGCCCGTCTCTCTGCTGCAGCTGCAACTGCTGCAACTGCTGCAAGGCGTCATAGCGTGTGTGCTTCGGCTTCAGCAAAGGACCGTGACACAGACTCGGATGAGCCTGCTTCTGGGGTGGTGGAGCATCGACGGAAAGATCAGTTCTTCAGCGCAGCTTTCTTCTGTCCTTTCGCTTGATCAATGCATGCATTCTTGCTAAGTGCACTGTCCGACAAGTTCACGACTCTAGATCTCTGTAAATCCCCAGCAGGACTGGACCCAAAGCCCACTGCTGAAATGGGCAAGCTGGATAAACACAGAGGCGGGTTTCCGAACTTCGCCAGGTTTGCAAGTTGCCTCATCGTGGTGCAAGGTGCTGCCACCGGATGTCATACACCAGCTCTCACACTGGGCACTGGAAGGACCGTCCTGACTCGGCCCGATTTCCAGACATTCGCATGGCGATGAGCTTCGGTTCAAGCTTGAAATCCATTCTTTTGCCTTTGTCTGAGGGTTGAGGGGCCCGGGGGTTTTGTTTATTTTTTTTGGGTTTTTTTGGGCTTCAGGGTGTGAGGACTCCTTATATGATAAAATGCCACACGGATAAAGATGGTCGATTGTGTTGCCAAGACCGCATGACGGCAGAGGATGCAAGAAGCTTTGCATCTGATGCAAGAAGCTTTGCATCTTTCTGACGATGTTCCGCAGCCTCCCTGGCTATGGATGTGAAGTCTTAAGTGGGCTAGGTGGAAGTGGGATAGCAGCAGCTTGCCCGCCATGCTCTGCAGGCGCGCAAAGCATGTACCTGGACCTTCGTGGGCTTCCCCACCTGGAGTGGCTCGCTTCACGATGTGCAGTTTAGTGTACTGGAAGGGTTGGGTGCCACGCTTTCCCGTCACTGTTGGACCGGCTTTGAACAGGCAGGGTTTCGTGGCCGACCAGGCAGCCACTGGGCTTCGATTGGGAGTCACAGCAACCAGCCAGCATTGGCAGCACAGGTCGCCTTTATCAATCCAAGAGCTCAGTGATAGCTGTCGAGGCAACGCTCCAGGAAATTGTGCTCCATGGTGCGCAGAGCCTCAAGGCCTGTGAGCACGTGCAAGGTGCAAGTATGCAACCTCGTGTTCGAGGCCAACTGTCAGACATCGTCAGCGCCTTCGTTTCCCTCATCGCCACTCTCAGCACGCTCGTCGACGTCATCGTCGCGCTCACCCTCATCACTCTCATCACCCTCATCGTCATCCTCGTCACCCTCGTCATCCTCACAATCATCCTCATCGAAATCATCGCCCTCATTACTGTACCCTTATCCTTCTCGTCAAAACCACCTTGGTTTTCGATGGAGACTTCTTGACTTTGTCGGAAGGATGTTGCTGCATCGAGAAGTACACCATGTCAGAAAAAAACACAACAAGAAGCCCAAACGGTGAAGCTTCCCGAATTCTCTAAGAAGGGACAGCCCTCATCGGCGGAGAGTGGCCCTAGGGTATGGTTTGTCTTGGGATGCCTTGACCCTTACAGTGCGAGACTGCTCTGCCCAGGCCTACTCGATGGAGGCTGTGAGCTCGACGCAGTTGCAGTTTTCCACGGAGTTTGGTACAGAGGCCAGTCGTCCTTCTCCACTTCTTTCGCCACATGCGGCTGAAAGCACGGTGCTCCAACGTTCCAAAGCCAGACTCGGCCGTGCCGGCCACGTCCCCCATGAGGAGCAGCCGAATGTGGGCTTGGCTGCGAAGTTTTTGATCCGCCTTCAGGCTCAGGCACAGACCCTTCGCGAGACGAAGCCACTCAAACGTCGAGAGAGCAACGCGTTTCATTTCTCGATCTGCAGTCTTCCACAGCCTAAACCCAACAGGATGCAGATCAGTGGCGGTGGTGGTCGCATGATGCGGTTTCGCATGTAGAGGAGGAGATCGGCGGCTTGCCTCCAAGCTCGAGGTTGTGACACATGGAACGGTTGGGCTTTGCGCTTGCGTCTCACCACTCATAGTAGGCCTATCCGACCTTGCCGTTGCCGTCGAGGATGTTTCTCTGAGGCCTCAATCTCGCCATCACGAGACCGCGTTCCCGACTCCAGGTGCGGTTCCTGTGCTGTGTGTTGTTGGTGGGATTGTGTCCGGGAGATGTCTAGCGCAGAATGGAAGAGCATGACCGACATATTGATCGAGTTGTCACTGCTCGCAAGACCCGAAAAGCAGCAAATTTAAGCAAGATGTCCAGGCACGAGTGCTTTGTAAAGATGATCCGACCACACCGCTGTATACTGCAAGCCAGTGGTTTTGGGCGCCTCGGTCGAAGCAGGGGTGACCGCCTTGGCCCACTGAGCAACAGAATTTGCTCCCTGGCCCAGGACCCCATCAACTGCGCAAGGAGCCTGTTCGTGGAGGCCTCCGGGTAGCTCCAATTGACCATGCGCAACAAGTTCCGCGCCAGGCGCCCGTAATCGAGAGGCAGAATCTGACTTTCGAGGGCATCGCCGCACCACTGCAGCTTGGCTCCATGATGAGGACTTGTCGTTTTCGTATTCTTGCCGATGAGCCCACGGTGCCAGGTCCTGGACTGCTATAACTCCGGGCATTCTGGAAAAGGATTTGTCAACTCTCTTCAACGAACTCGTCAGTTTGTTCAACGACTTGTACGAGGCTGTGGGGGCTTGCAGAAGCTTGCAGCAAGAACTTGAAAGCAGCTACCAAAGGTAGATCGAGAATTCGAAGGACGGCACGGCATGTCTTGGCATTTGCATCTGGGCATCATCTGTCCTGCAGGCTCACCTCCCTGATGCTCTGACTCGTATCTTGGCAAGAGAGCCTTCCTGCACGAAGGGTGGGTGAGCATGCCTGATGCTCTCACTGACAGGCCTGGCCGCCAGCGAGGATGGCCTCAAGGTGCGTGCTGTCCTGAACCCCGTTGAAGTGCACGGATCTAATGCTTCATCCACCCTGGGAGGTGGTGAACACTGTGCTGGCGAAGCTGGCAAAGCCCACCCAGTGCATTGCCCTGGACGATGCGAACACGAAGACGCAGGGATTCTGTGCCCGCAAATCCAGTTTTGCCGAGCCTGGAAGTCTGGTGGTGGTAGTGACTTTGGGTAACATCGCTGCAGATCAGGATACTACGGTGACGAGTTTTCTGATTGGCCCAAGATGCTGTCTGGCCAACTGAAAAAGTTTCTGGACCAAATGATCTCTGGCTTCTTTGTTGCCAACGAGAGCCTTGGCGAGAGCAGGCTCTCGTAGCCAGAAGCGAAGACTTCTCAGGCAGTTTTTTGTGCCCTCGCCGCAAGGCTCTCTTCAATCCAGGGCGGTCCCTGCTCAGGACAAGCGCGCCCAAGTTTGTGCGGGACATGCCGGCCATCTCTGCGGGGCCTTTCACCTTGCGCCTCGAGGTGCCAGACAGCGACAGTGTAAGTGTAAAGGTGCCATCTTGTACCCGTAACAGCTGTGGAACTGGAGTGCTGTCATCACGCGGAGGATATGGCCCTTCGTGGAACCGATCAGTGACTTACCAGCTGACAGTTTGCGAATGCTGCGATCCCAGGGCAGGTGTTCGAATTGAGCCGATATCCAAGGGTCACAGATGCCAGATTCATGGTACCAGACGCAGGGGCACCCGGGACCCTAGGACCGCCTTGCGACCCTGCTCTGCAGAGCTAGACAGAAGGAAAGCCGACACATCCGACACCGGAAACCGGCCGTGACACGAAAGGATTCTTCATGACCAACGTGTGCCACGGAGAGCAGTACAATGCCACTCTGGCCGTGCGGCTCGGCAAACTACAAGCACTGCCAGCTTGTGGCATGGCGGTCTGAGTGCATGAATCTGCCGCACACAGCAGAAGGAGTATCCCGGGTAGCTTCCGATGCTTGCCAGGAGGCTGGCTGGCGAACATCCGAAAGGTGAGGCACTCATCGAGGTGGGCCTGACAGGCAAAAGACCTCCGCAGATCTTGTCGGTGCCCTGCTGCGAAGGTCGAGGCCCCTTGCGGAACTTTCGAAACCGTTCTGAACGTGAGTTTGGACACGCCGCTGGTTCGAATGCTGTGCAAGAGTCTGTTGCACTCAGTGAGCTCATCCGCAGTCTTGTCATGCTGCTGAGGTTAACGACAGCCAGCATACTGCTGCCCCCAACATTGTTCTGTACCATGTTGCTTGGCTCTGAAGCTCGAGCATGCGCGAGACTGCAAGACCTGGATAGCTTGTTTGTTCAGGTTGACGCCTTTCCGAACGCTGAAGATGAAGGAACTGAAGCTGGGCTTCGAATCTGCAGGTTTGCTGCCAAGACTTCACCCAGGCTTCGGCCGACAGCACCTGAACGCATGGACTCAGGTGAACTCCGGGTGGCCTTGGGCTCGAAGCCTCCGCGCAAACCGATAGAGGACCGGGATGGTTGTCTTCGGCTTTCATGCGCCATACGTTTTTGAGCGAGCTTCGCTGATGACCAGGGCTCTCGTCGCACATAAAGTACATAGAGGTCCTCGACAGAAGAGCACAGCAGAATTGGCCAGATCGAGTTTCCCATGCGGACTTTTGGAGACGAGATGTGAAGCATTGTGAAGCACCACTTGTGTTGTCTCAGGGGCAGAGCTTCGCAACAAGAGTCACAAGAGTGCGGGGGGTCTTGTCATCTACAAACTTTCCTGCCTATCCTGTGCGCCAGAGAATTGCCCGCGCTTCCCGGCTGTCCGCGAGGGTTGCGGGATGGGTCGGACTTGGCTGAGCAGGAGCTTTGGGAGCTTTACCCAGAGCTGTCCACGGCAGTCCATGGGTGGCCTGGTGACATTCGGGGGGTCGCGGGTTTTCAGTAAGTCTCTGGAGAAGTTCCTAAAGGTCGCGAAGCTTCAGTTTTCAAGCAAGCACCGTCAGTCGTGCTTCGAAGAAGCACTTAGCACTCAGTCGGTTCATGCTATCCATGCAAGGCTGCTGCACTCTCTCGTGACTGCCGACAATGTGACGGCTGTGCTAGAGTTCCTGCACCAGGACATGTCAGATGTTGAATTTGCTGCTGGACATGGGGTGCAAGTTGGCTTTCAACCACTCAGATGCTGGTTCAAACATGGCTTCAGGAGGCTGTGCAAGAATGTGATGCCAAGTCGTCGCGAAGGCTGAGCGTGGGGACCCTGGAACCAAACCTTCCCCGACGCCGGGACGAGCCCTGACAAGCTGGTTGCCGGTCCCAAGGCTGCTGAGACTGCGTCCAAAGGAGTCTTGGCTGCAGTCAGCGTAGTGCATCCCCTGGAGTGAGGTGCCCGGACTTCTGTCAAATGTAGAGCCGTGCACTGCGCTACAACTGGGCTCCCTCCCAGGCCAACTCAGATAAATCCGGATCCTCGAGGGTGAAAGGTTGTGGGCAAATGCAGGTCGATCTTGCCCCGAGGCATAGATGCCAGAGGAATTAGCTATGACAAGGCACGGTGCTTTGGACTGCTGCGTCGAAGGGTTGCTGACCTTTTACCTACTGCTTGATATATTCCTTGGTCCCGCATCAGAAGTCTTGCAGCGCCGTGGCAGGGTTTCAACATCCTGGTCTGGCTGTCCTCTTTGCTGGGCGGCTTCGCCGCGGCAGCTCTGGTTCTGGGGGCAGTGGTGTGCCAGGCCCAAAGTCAGAGACCTTGCGATTCTGTCTGCAGCGAGGGGTTGCCCCTCGGCTGAGAAGGGGATGAAGGTGTCTCTGAATGACATGCAGAAAGCCTTTGTGAAATGCAGGCGGGCAGGCACAAGGCTTCAGCTTCGAAGCCGTTGGGCGTTCATTGCTGGCTGGCTGGCCGGGGCAGCTCGGTTGGACAGATGTCTCATGATGTCTTTATTTTCGAGAGCGTGCGCAAACCCAATCGCTGGAGTTGCACATGCAAGGCCCACAGGCTATCTCATGGTCATGCTGTGATCTAAGATCTGAGGCGAGAGGCACTCGCTCGTCGTTGTCATGGCCTCTGTATGCCCCTCCGAAGAGCCATCGTGCTTGCGACTGGCCTTGGTGCAGAGGCCGTCTGTATGATGCTTGGCTTCTCCGTGATCCTGCGGGTGCTAGCATGCAGCTTGCCCTACACGTCGCTGATGATGCGGATGGTGTACACGCCACTCACCTGGTGAAGATCTAGGGTGGGAGTATGTTGCGGATGGCTACACCTCGTTTACAGGAGCAGCGCTGCCTGCTTTTGAGCATTGGTTGCCTTGAGGCCCAGTAGCCTGGAGCTTGACAAGCAGACGATTGCCACCTTCACCTACTGGGGCTCCCTGCCTCAGTCCCAACCAGTTGTCGTTGTGGCTTTGAGCACTGCAAACGTCGTGCACTGGATAGTTTCATCATGTTCCGCCTGGAAGTTTAACAGCACTGCACTCCATGGTGCCAAGGACTGGCCCTGCAGTTCAAAGCCGGAGGACTGTGAGACATACAGCTTCATCTCTTCATGCCCGAACGATGGCGTACAAGTTGCTGTGAAGCAATACCATCATTAATTTTTTCTTGCAAGACTCCGGATCATCGCGACAAGCTGTTGCCCTCGTTCTCCTTGCGTGGTGTTAGGCTGTTGCGTTCCAGGAGGCGACTTTGTCTTCATCAACTTCGTGGTGACTTCCCTCGTAAGTGGTGTGGTGGCGACCTCAGTCGCCCTGCATCCCATGACTTGCCGTTGTGGTGGGGTAGTGATTTTGCTCCCAGGCCTGAGGCCAGGCTTATAGTTTAAGTTTCTCTTTTGCCTTGGCCTAGTGTAGTTCTTTTTTGAGGCGTCGTTTTCAGCACAGCCTTCCATTTTTGCTTTGGTGCTTTTGTGTTATCAGGCATTTTACACTTCGCTGTCCTGAAAGTTTGGCTTTTTGATATGTGCCGTGCCCTTTCTCGTGACCGTCCTCTTCATGTTGCCTCGCAATTGGTATGTAATGGCTGTTCTTGTTCGCAGACCACAGCTTTTGCTTTCCTGATGGTTTACAGCACTGTTACATGACTGCAACTCTTGCCAGTAATTGCTGCCATCTTCTTTCCGCATCACCGCTCTCTAAACTCTACGAACTCGGCATCAAAACTCTCAGAACAAGAACGTTGTCTCTTCTCCTTTCTTCCTTGCCCCTCCTCCGGTCCGATACGGACGCAACAGTAACAGCAGCAACTTCCCGATATATGTGTCATGCCAGATGCTTCCGAGACGTCGAATGGGTGAGTCAGCCCGGAGGATGAGAGTTGGGGTGTGCTGAGGTCCCTTAGATCAGGCTATTTTGGGAGGGGCCACCAGATAAATACCCTGGATCTTGGTGACAGCTGTACTTCAGCATCCAATTGTTTCTAGCACCGGCAGCATGGAGGGTTTAGGCGGGGGCAGTGAGGCCAAAGAGCGTCAAGAGGCGGATGGAGCGGGAATCCGGCAGTTCGGTCGATTGCCCATCTGCCTCAGGTCTCTTGCGCGATTCTCGCCTTGCCGTGGTTACTCGGGCTGAGCTTCGGCATACAGCACGTGCTGATCCGATTCCTGTCCAAATGAGAGCTCAGATGGCCCGCAGTGTCACGCGCAGAGTCGCTTCTTGTCCGTTGAATGCGATCTTTCAGAGCCAGAGTGCTGCGCTTGAAAAGGCGTAGCGATTTGGATTGGCAGGCTACCTTTCCAGGACAGCCGAACCCTGGGATCGTTTGCTCGTGGCCCCGCAAACAGTCATGCTGCGCAGGAGTCTCAGACCTTGGCGAACGCTGGCTTATCCATGTGACTCGTAGAGATGGTGGCGTTGATTGCAGGGCACAGAATCACGGCTTCAGAGAGTACTGTACTCTGTGCCAGGAATGCCAACATTGCCTTGCCGATGGATGCAAAAGGTGAGATGAGGACAGCGACCTGGATCCTTCCGTCGCCGCAGGTCGTCCAGACCAGCAGGGCCCACAGCCATCTCCAGCCCTTGAGAACGTCGTGAATGTTTGGGAAGAGACCCCGCCATCCCTGGAGGATGGTGCCACTTCTCGGGCCCTTCGTTGCCATCACGGCCTGCCTTTTGTGCCTTGCCGCTGCTTCGGCTGCAACGCGTGGACACCGCGGAAACAGACGGTTTAGAAGCTAAGGCTGGTGTGACAATGGCCGTGTCACTTCCGCAAAGATCGACGAAGGACGAGGACAAGCAATGGGCTCTGCCCGATCTAGCGCCCTGTTCGATTTTGAGTTTATGCTGTGCGTGAGAAGGCGAGGCAAAGATCCCCAAACAGGATCAGTGTATGAAGCCTCGCACGAAGGGCCCGGAAAGCTTGAAGGGATCTGCTTGCGTCCAGGTGCTGTGCTCGGGAATCCTGACGGGAGTGTTTATTTGGTTCTTCTTCTCCTTCATCTCCGTGGCTCTCGTGGGCTTGGCTGGAATGGCGGCTTGCCTTGCCCCGGCCATGGTCACACACGCATCCATAGCGCTCTGAATCGCTGCAGGTCCTGTCACCGGGGACCTACTCCGGAATGGATCTGGGAGCCTACAGTCCATTGTTGCTTCCTGGCGGAATTTTGGAACAATCGGAGATTGCGCAATCCTCAAGATCAGAAAAGATGCAACCGTGCATAGAGCCTTTGCCCTAAGGAGAAGCACAATACTTGTCCAGACTGTCCTTGCGCCTGTTGGCCAGGCAAAGCGTTGCAACAGCATGGTTTGGCTGGGGAACATACACAGACCAAGAACGTGCAAGCGAAGCAGCCTATTGCTGGGTCTGGGGCACCGCTACATCTAGGGGATTCGGAGGAAGCAGAGGAGTGGGATGATCTTTGCACAGTAGGACCCGTGGGCTATGCGTTTCTGGCGGAGGCAGTCTTCGTCGCGCTGCGGTCAACAGAACTCATTTCGGAACGTTGCTTGGGTCAAAATTGAACGCACGATGGTTTGCAAAAGCTCTTCTTGTAGGAAAGATCCTCCTAGAGCTGAGGTTGGCGACCTGTGGAGGAGCTCTGTATGAGCCCCTCGGAAGCTTTTGTTTGACTTTGTCCAGTTGTAAGACGTGATTCGGCATAAGAGTCTTCTGGAGCCTGCACCCCAGCCAGAGCCCTTGGCACATTGGCCAAAGGGCTGCCAGCTGTCACAGATCCTGACCCAGTGCGAATGCTTAGGTCTCAACGCTCTCGACGTCTTCGCGCTGGTGCCTCTATCAATCTGTGCTGTAAATTTCTCGCTTCCGCAAACTGCTAAAGCCGCTCCAAGCAAAACGGGGTCTCACATGATGGCCGCAGGTATACCTTCTGGCATTCCTGGAGAATGTGGATGGCTTCACCACATCTTTTGCCAGTTCAAACTTTGCAGCGTGGCTTAGAATCTCTCGTGTTGCGCAAAGATCGACGACCAGGAAGAATTCGTTCAATATAGGTTTTTGTAGCACTTGGTTCCGCTTCCTTTCCTCTTTGCGCGTGGCTTGCGAGAAAGCTGCAGCGTGTGCAGCATTTAAAACTGAAATGCTCGACGTCCCGACGTCCTTCCATGAAGCCTTCGATCAACTAGAAGCACCAGCTGGCTGTCCCAGGCGGATGTCGTTGAGAATGTGCAGAAGCTTCTTGGTATTCCTGCTGTTGGAGTCGAGGCTTCTGTGTTGGAGATGGGGACACTTGGCTTGCTTTCGGCCGGCTGGCTTCGGTACCAAGCCGGGTTCTGAAAGCGCTCCCTGAAGTTCGGGTTTAGCTGCGTGGCCTGTCAACACTGGCTCTCTGTTCTCTTTGCTAACTGTGCAAACCTTCCCATCTACGTTCATAGAGAGTCAAGGGATCCTGCACCCGCAGTAATCTCGCCAGAGTTCATAACTTTTGAATCCTGGCCTGCTTGCTCGAGAATGCGTCCTATTCCGATCGAGACCTGGGCCACCAGACAAAGCCTGCGCCTTGAGACGTTTGCATATCAGGACAGTGGGTCTCTGTATCGGAGCAGCATGCACGTTGTTGCTCTACATTCGCAGCTTGGCAATCAAGCTTCTGATTTCTGCTGGCGTGGAGAAGCGTATCTCTGGATCGCAGAGGTGTTGCTTGTAGTCAGGATCTCCGCCGCATCAGTGCGTTCTGCTTAGAAGCTGCCCACGCGACAGGTTCGTCGATGTATTTTCACTCGCTGGTGCCGAAGTCGGTTGCCAGGACAGGTTCATACAGAGCCAGATGCTTTGTATTTGTGGAACTTATGGGTCTTGACTGTCAGCCATAGGTGTTGCATGTATCCGCAGGCAACTCTGGGTAAATGCAAGTCTACTTGTCGGTCAGGAGGGATGTGGAAGAGTCAAGCGTCGCGGTGGAGTTGCAGTGAGCAAGACTCCTTTCTGCGGCGTCTCCACGCTCATGCAGTATCTCCGATGGACCTCATCCATCGTCTCGGAGAATCTTGGAGCTGATGTATCCGCAGCCAAAGCAGCTGCCCTTGCCTGGTTCAAAGTCTCCAAACCAGGGGATGCACGAACACATTCCGTCGGCTCAGTGTGATGGCTCCCAGACGACGAGTCTCCCGAGTCAACAGGAAAGCCTTTCTTGTTCTATATCATGATACTTGCAGTGGTGCGGCAGCATCACTGTCAGCATAGAATTTGAAGCTGGTTCGTGCATCCATTCGCAAATACAAGCGACCTGTCCATTCGGTGGGTTTGCATGTGCCATGGGGCGGATTTTTACTGATGGCGGATTGGCGAATACACCAGTCTAGTTAGCAAACGTGCATTGTGGGTGGTCTTTAGGTGTCATCGCCTTGCGCATACGTGCCCTGAATTCTGATCTTTGCAGATTTCAGGACCTTGCACCTCTGCACGGGCTCCATTGCTCCATGCTCGATGATGTGCGCAGGACGACGCAGATTGGGTCCGAGCATTGCGTGACACAGTGTGAACTGATGGTGCCACTGCTGCTTTTATGATCACCAACCAACACATGCCATCAAATCTGGAGCCCCGTCCCGGGTGCCAAGTCCGCTCTTGTTGGCACCGGCATCACCCGCGACTTTCGCTGGGACAAGCTGCTGACATCGATTCGAAATTGTGGCAGTGAAAATTGAGACCGCTTGGTGTAAGATGCCAGATGAGCCGAATTGCTGTCCGATGAAGCCTGCCTGAGAGCTCTTCCTTTGTTTGCATTTGTCGAGTGGGGATGATTCTAGCCGATTTTAGCCGGTCTCAGGAAGTGCTCAGATGTTGAGCTCTCGAGACAGATCGTCTGGACCTGCCCCATCTCATCTCATCTCTCTCCCGCTTATTCCCTTCTAATCACCTAATCTGTCTCACTCTTTCTCGCTCTCCCTTGGAAGCCCGATGCAGGTCGCTCCAGCGGTGCCCTGCTTCGCGCAGGGTGGGGCGTTCTGTGAGCCCTGGAGAGCTTGGGTCTGCGAGAATTCTGCGTGAGGCTCGCGACAGCATGCCTTGCCGCCAGCCAGGCCTCAGGGATTTTAGGGGAGAGTCCGGGTTGAAGCGGCTCCGTTGAACTGCTGAGACTTGGGAGCCCTGAAGGCCTCCTGCAAGGCTTTCGTGCCTAGCAGACTCGGCTGATGCCTCAACCAAGCGTTTGCTTTGGTGTTCGCTTCCGTCTCCGAGCTAGGCCAGTCTCTGTCAGGCAAGGTGAGGTTTGAAGTCTCACAGGACGGGGTAAGGGGGCAGTGCCGTGGAAGCAGCTTCCAAGGCCCCTGCACCGAGACTCGAAGACCGCAGGTCGCAAGAGTTCTCTCCTCAGGATCCGAAGGCGCCAATGGTGCCGGGTCAGCAGACCGTCCAAGGCTGCAGCAGAGCTACCACCGGGTTACCTGGCTCCGCCTCCGAGCGGCATTCCCGGGCGCGGGAGCCAGCAGCAGCCGTTTGTGTGTTGGGAACCGGGAAGCCAGCATCAATTTCATTCTCCCCCATTTCTCGACACAGGCTGGAGCCCTCGCAGCTTTCACTAGGCACTGCGTTTGCACTCTTCGTTCAGCTCTTGGCGTTTTGAGCATGCATGCAGCCTTCTGCAAGTGGAGCTATGTGGAGCTCCGAGTGTGTCATCTTGCGTCTCAGGTTGTTGCTGTCCCCGGCGTTCTTGGTACCATTCAGAGGCTGACGTGGTACCCGTCTGGTGAGATGAATTGAAGGCAAAGGCATTTCAGGAGTCATCTAAGTCTTAAGTGTGCATCAAGTTGAGAGCAGTCCTAGAGCACTCCGCGGCCGAACAGCATTCACAGGGGCTTCTAGAGCCTGGAAAGCATGCACGAACTCGCCCACGGAGAACACCCTAACTGCATGCGAATCGAGCTTCGCACATCGGTCTTTGATTTGGGAGGGATGAGGCCACAACAAGGCTTGGTGTGATGGGGAATTTCATCCTCCTTTGCAACGGTGCAAGTTATTTTTTGGTGTTTGCGCGTTGTTTCAGGGTTAATTGGGGAATTGCGTTGCTTGATGCATCCACATGCTATCTCTTAAGATTCATCGCAGGGGTGGAGGACTGACTTTTCCAGAATCACTCTTGGCTTTATGTCAGTGTTGTGAAGTTGCTTTTGCCAGGTTTGGCCAGGCAAAGTTTGTCGAGAAGACCTATGTGACTGCCCTTGCTGCTCATTTTGGCAGAGTTTGGTGGGTTCTCGTTTCCAGTGGCTGAGGTGATGCCGGGCACTGCTGCCGGTGGGCTTGAGATGCGTTCCATTGCCACTCGGATCGCAGATTGAAGCGGCCCTCGTTTTCTGCAAGCAAATCTTCTTCAGAAAGCCAGGAAGACTTCCAAGTGCCATGCGCGCGAGTGAGTGTTGAATATCACGCTCTCTAAGGCAGGTGGAATTGTTGCGTACTTCACAGGACTGGGCCAAACCCGAAACCAGGACTGGGACGGCCTTTTTTAACACGCTGCCTTGTGCAGGACTCAACTACATGATGGAGGCCGTCAGACTGCATAGAGCGAAGATGAAGTATATCATGCTCGCCGCGCAGGAGTCGCCACAGCAGGGGCGAATCCGCTTTGTAGGCGCGCTGGTGAAAAACAGTGCATCCGAAGAAAGGGAACTAGAGACACAAATGCACGAGTTCCGGTGCTCTCCTACCAGTCGTTTTGAGTGACGGGCAGCTACACCCGAGCAGAGCGAATTCATCGTGTGATCCATTCTTCACCGGACCCGGAGCGATCAGGCCAGCTTCAAGGCAGCATCAGCCAGGCCGACCCCCCCATTCCGCCGGAGTCCAAAGCTGAAGCGCCTCCTGGCCAGGCTTTGTTCCTGACTTTCTGCCTTGGTGGCTGTGATCTCAGAGTTTTCAGAGGGACAAGATCCAAGTCATGCTGGCAGCAGAGGTGCCATCTTTGCTGTGGCACTGCTACTAGTGCCAGGGCCTTGAAGTAGTGAGAAAAAGCTTTCCTTGAGGGGGCTTTTCAGAGTCTCTAGTAGCTAGGCAGATCTTTCCAGATGGCCCCTTCGGAGTCGGGCCTGACTGGTGGTTTACTCCGGCTCCTGCCTCGGACTACCGCCTCGGACCGCGAAGGCGCGGAACTGCGAGTGCTGAGATGGTCATCAGCCCCTCCGCGGGTCTTTACTACTGGCAGCGCGCCTTTCGGTCGAAGCCTCAGCCCTGTTGCAATGAACGGCCCTTCGAATTACGATGGGTCGCTTTCACGTCAAAGCAACGCCAAGGAAGGACATCGTGGAGCTGCAGCTGGGAATGACCGACGACTTCATGCAGACCTCCCTAGTCATCCTCGGCAGTCTGGACCCTCAAACGGAATGGTTTCGGGTGCTGACCTGCACAAGACATAATACGGGCGAAGTTGAGGGCCGAGGGTAGCTTGCAGATCTTCCGGCGTCTCAGACGCTTAACAAAAAGCTGGTGGCGCTTGTCAGATCATGAGTGACTAAAGCTGGAAGGAAACCATCGAAGAGCTGCAGAACGGTGTCCGATTTCAGTCAGCAGCTCAATTGCGCAAAGATGCAAAGCTGGGACAGCAGAAGCTTGCGCAGGCTTCCGTCACACGCATTTCTATGAGAGGTTTCTGACTGCAGACTTGAATGCAGTCCTCGAGCTCAAAACAGCACAGAAGGGAGAAAGCACAAGACCCGAGTTGGTAGGGAGAGCCGGGATAGTATTGCTGGCAGAGACGACGGAGTCGTTTGAACTATTTTTTTCCTGGAGGTCTGACACCGGTAAGCTCTTCCGCCTGATGGAGCAGGCCGGCTTTCTCAGCGAAAAGTGAAGTGACGCCGCTGAAACCCAGAGAGCTTGCCGAGGGCATGGAATACCAGCCGGGCATCTTCGAATCCGACGAGGCCCCGTTTTTTTGACAACAAAAAACACTGCGCCAAATTCAGAGCTCCTCGCCTCGCTTTCTTCCGTAGAGGACCGCATGGTCGTCACCGGGGCCTCTGGCTCTTCGGGCTCCTCCAGCTGAGGGGACTGCGGCTCTCGGGTGAAGAGCCTTGGGTGCTTCAAGGCCTGGACGAGTAGAAGCCACTTGAGACCTCATGCCTGCCTTATGCCTGCCTCGATGTTACGGCATACGTCCGGCAGAACAGTGTGTGGCAAGTGCGAACACCGAGCGGAGGATTCCTGCTGCACGGATGCAGCTCTAAGCAAAAAGGACGGCCATAGCATCGGGATGGATGCCGTCCAGCAATTTTCGGCTCGTGGTGCTAAAAGGAGCACGAGCACTTTTCTCACCCTACGCTTCTGCTTTCTGCCGGCTAGCGATCTTCCGAGCAGAAGTTTACGCTGCTTCACACGGTGGTCTAGTACTGGAGGCAGGAGCTTGCCACAGTTCCACGTTTCACAGTTTTCAGGCGGCAGTGAAGACGCGTTTCGAGAAAATAACTTAAGGTAGCATCCAAGCAATCACGAACGCAAAACATGACATTGCATGAGTGATGCATGGCTGCCTGCGTTCCATAGGCCTGACTCCCTAGCGTGTTCGGTTGCTCAGCACCCCAGGCGTCTGCCGGAGCATTTGCAAGGTGCCAGCTAGGCGTAGCTGCTAAGAGACATGCCTGATTCAATTCAGCCTCACCTCGCATGCCTTAGCATTTCAATTCCTCGGCCAGCCGATGTCCTCAGAGCGAGGTTGTGATGCGGGGCGGGGCGCTGAGTGCGGGGTGGGGGATGCTGATCCCTCCGGGAGTCTTGGGAATCTTGATGGCCTCTCAGCTACACCCACCCAGGAACGGAGTGAGCCCAGAAGTGGCATCCGACGTGTTCATACCGTGCTCGGAGCAGCAGTTTCGGGCTTTGGGAGTTGTTCGGTGGCTGCGAGACTTCGGAGGTACATCAGGCACACTTTCCTGGCATCTCCGCCGGAGAGACCTCCGGAGCTTGGAGGACTGCACTTGTCGTTTTTTGGTCTCCGGGGAGCCTGCTTTTGTCGGGTCTCGCGAGGACGGAGCCGCTCGGAGGAGTGGGGCAGCTGCTGTGACCGTTTCGCGGTGCAGGCATCGCAAACCTGGAGTCCGAGGATTGAAGCAAGATTAGCAACTCTCCGCTGGTAGAAGCGACCAGGAGTGGGTCTTTAAACAATAGCAGGCAACCGGGGCACTTCCTTCCAGGTTCGACGTTTGACAATCGGAAGCACTGACTGATCATTCAACAAAATGTCGCATCAAGTTGAAGAGTTCACGAAAGGCCCAGTCTGTGTCTGCGCAGGCAGCCAAGGAGCCGAACTCGGGAGCAGAGAACTGTCTTTCCTCCTCGCCAGCCGATCCTAAGCAAACCATGCTACGTACTGGTAGGCTGGTATGCGATACGGCTGGAGCTCAACGGAATAACGAATAACGGCTGAGCCCTGCTCATGTACCTCTAGGCGGCCTCTGTCACCCTTTCGCTCCTGCCATGCCCGAAACTGACATTACATTGACGTGGTTAGCGCATCATGTCCTGAGCAGGTCAAGAAACGTCTTTCCAAGGCTCAACTGGCCTCTGCCATTCCAAAAAGGAGGGTGGGCTCTACCAGAGAGAACAGAAACCTTACGGGGACCCTGTCTGCATGGCTTGGGGGTGCACAGGGAGCGAGGGGAGCCGCAGAGCCGAGGTGCATTCGCTGATGTTCAAGGTTCAGCCCCTGGAGCACAGGGAGGGTTCAGGCGCAGCAAGGGGCCCAGGCTGCTCTCGCAAGAGGAAGCATTTGATGGCCGTATCTTCTTCGTACGTCCCGTAGATCCGCGGATAGCAGTAGCAAGAGCGGAAGTCTAGGAGAGTCCAAAGCAGCGGCACATGCATAAGAGCGCATGGTTCCCTGTCGCAGTTCCCGCCAGCTCCGCCACAGCCTCCGAGACGGAGGCACCTGACCTGCGACTTCCTCGCGACATTGATGTCGCTGTTGCATTCCGGTGCTTAGCCCAAGCTAGTGCTTGAAGCATGAAGGACGTACGAAGAAGTGAAGGATGAGCCTTTGCCTTTGACAGTGTCCAGGGTGCCAGCGATGCGGAGATATTGCCAGAGCCTCCTCGAGAGCTGTCAGACGAGGCTCGGACCGCGAGGGACTGACATGGCTTGTCTCCAGCGTCGTTTCACCCGAGTTCATTCACCCCCGGCTTTCCTCTTACTCGCTACGCGCTTAGACGAGAACACCCCAGCATGCTTCCTTGATCGGATGGACTAGATTGGGCCACGCGGCTCCCTTGAAGGGAGCATGCTGGCTTGCGAAACAAAATCAACCATGAGAGCGGCTGTTCCCACGGACTGTGCAGAGGTGCAAGGAGAGTCGACCATTGGTTTTGTTCCGCTGTAATTCGCAGAAGTTTTACCGCACCAGAACTTGAATGTGTTTCAATCTCTGCATCGTTGAGGCCAGTAGACAAGGCTGCTCTTTATTCACACAGCAGCATGAGAGTGAGACATCCGAATCGACAGTGTCAGCTGTGCTTGCTCCCATCATGATCGAAAGGCCTTGCGTCTCGTGCCGCTAGACGAGGCTGCGGAAGCAAGCTGTTGTGGCACTTTCGCGTATGTATTTTGCAGGATACTGCAGACTGCAGGTTCAGCTGAGAGTCAAGTTCAGAGTTTGCACATTCCTGGACAAGCCAGCAACAAATTGAAGTCAGAGTTTCGGTCGCACAGCAACCCTCGGGCCACATTTTTATGTTGAGTCCCGCATTATGTACCACATTGCATTTGCGAGGATGGCAGGATGACTTCAATCGGTTCCACACTGCAGCCGGGCTGCACTGTGGCCGTTTCACCGAGCATGTATGCCATCAGAGTTCAATCTTTCTCAGTCTTTGCCATTCTCGTAGCATGCGCATCTTGACAAAAACCAAGCCGAAGAAGGCATGCGGAGGGCGAGTGCCGCCCCTGTGCCTTTCTTAGCCCCGGGCTTGGTTGGTCGAGCCAGCCCCGCATCGCTCCACCCTCTCTGCTGCTGTAAGGCTCCATCCGTCGGCCATGCCGCAATGGAGCCGCATGCCTGCCTTGGACCTACTTGAGCTCTCACCTGCCAACGGTGTGCGCAGTGTGGCGAGTGGTTAGAGCTGGGCATTGGATACGTTTCGTAGCAGGTTCTGCCACTTTTCGCACGAAGCACGCTACAAGCTGCGCCTTGGGCGGCGGAAGAGGCATGGCAAAGGCTTCGAATTCGTTTTCTGTCCGGCCACTGGGTTTGTTGATACCCGTTCAGGAAAGAGATGCGGACTGGCGCAAATGCAGCCTTGGAGGCATTGCTGTGATGTGAAGCTTGATGGGAGATGGTGTGAACTATAATGTCTTACTATGCTAAAAAGAAGGCGGTTTCACGGGGCTTTTAAGCGAATGTTGCACCTTCCGAAGCAGCCCGCCAGAGAGCCCTTCCGAAGCCAAGAAGCCCCCCCGGCAGAAGCTCTGCCAGGCAGCAGGCGCCGAAGGCATCGCTCCGGCCCCGAGGCTGCCGGGATGGGTCAGGGGTTTAGGGTTTATAAGGTTTATGGTTCAGGGTTTATAAGGTTTAGGGTTCAGGGTTTATAAGGTTTAGGGTTTAGGGCTATTCGCGTTTTCGGGTTTCGGGTTTAGGCCTTTAGGGTTTTTTAGGGTTTAGGGT